CTAATAATTAGTTCATCAAAAAAATCCCACAAGTGCATAAAAAATGTAGATGTTAACAAGGCCATTTCAAGGGTAAATTGACGGTAAGTGTCCATCTCCTTTTGCATGTTACTAAATTCTTGTGTAAAGATAAAATATGAAAATCCATACTTAAATTTCTAGTTAAACTTCAAAGAACTTAATCTAGCTTAATGCTGTTAAGCCTAAAGTTACTTACCTTAGATTAAATGAGGTTGGACCCAAAACTCTCAGTTTTGCTGCTATCTTTGTTGTAAGGTCAACACTCTTTCCTATTTCTAGTTTGCTCATTTGGGCAACAAAGCACTTTGATATAACAAAAACCAACCCCATTTAAGATAATACAATGAACCAAATGGAAATGAATTTTGAGCTAATTCAATAACTAATGTACCTAAAATTCATTACCACAGGGATTAGAACCTATAAGGAAACTCATTTACCCACCAAAACCCTAGGTTGATTGGGAAAGAAGCATAGAACATAACATTTGATTGGAGGGAAAAATTGTTGGGTTTAAGAAGGCGCAATAGAAGCAAAGAATTAAACTTTTAATATTTTCCTCTTTCAACCCACCTAGGATCTTTATGAATCCATTGACAACTATGAGTTTAGTGTCAGTACCTCAATGAAGCATGCTTTGTTGATGTGTAGATTTGACCATTATCTTTCGATGAAGTCACCAATAATCTAAGTGTAGAAAGTTTGTTCTTTGGGTCTTGGTTGAATAATTTTAATAGCTTAACATTCTATAGTGGGAAAAACCCTTCAGGGTTTCCTATACCTATTTATATTTAATTAGGAATAGAAGATTTGCAATTCTAATCCAATTTGAATGGTGAAACTTATTCTTTAAATTAAAATAGAAAACCTGAAGGGAGAAAACTTTCCTACCCTTATTTTTTTTCCTTTCTTATAGCACACCCCAATCCATTATGCAAAGGGATTTTCAACCAAGGCTCCAAGCCCATTATGCTGCTCTAGCCCTTAGCCCAACGGGCTAGGGTTTCAACCATAGAGTTCTCTAATGATTTAATTGTCACTTAAAATTTTTTCATGTTCTTAAATAGAACAAATCCAAACTTAAATTAATTAAATTAAATTAAATTAATTCTTTTTATCAATTTATTCTGAATATTGGTTAATTGATTTCTCTTGTGAAAATATTATTTTCACATAAATTAATCTATATCTACAAGTTTAAATTTATAGAAATCTCAATTCTCAGAGCACACTAATTGTGTAACCTTTTAGGTTTCTATGACAATGTTAGTGAGAAACATTCACAAATTAGGAGCGATATTTAGCAAACACATTATGGTCACTCCAAAGTAATACAAAGAGTTTATGGCTTCAATTTCTATGATCGATATTTGTGTAATTAATCTCTTTGCCAATAATATCTCCATCAAGTAATATGCATGTTGTAACACCCCACATACCTTAGTGAATAATTTAAAAATTAGTGTCCTTTAGTTTATAGTTTTAGGGATTAAATTGATTGAATTTAAAGTTTGAGTGTTTTAAGTAGAACTTAGGAAGAGTTGAATGGCCTTAACTCAATTATCCCAATTTTGCTTGCCACATGACATTATCCCAACCAAGTTTTTTTTCCTTGTCGGTGGGACTTGGATAAGCCTCCAAAAGACTCCTAAAAGCCCCCATTTTGTTTTCCTATGCCTTCCTTTTCCACCTGCATCTTTCTTTCTTTCTCCAACTAAGGTTAAGGTGCTTTTTAGGTAAGTATAAGTTTTGGTTATGAATTTGGGGTTAGAGTTTTGGATAGCTTAAATTGGTGAGATTTGACCCAAATCCTTTGGTTTATAAGATTTTTGGACATTAAAATTTCATTAGAAATATCTTAATTTTTGGGGCTTGTATGGGATGGATAATAAGTCATTTTCCTTTTTCCATACTTGATTTGGTGTGGATTTTATTGATTAGTACTACTGTTATTGCTTGTATACCTTGTGTGATTAAGTCAGAATTTATATAATCAATCGGTTTTTGAACTGGGCGTGAGCTTGGAGCAGATTGCTACTTTTGATTACTGTTCATGCAATTACTGTTCATAGGTCACTATTTATGATTATTGTTTGTGATTACTATTCATATATCACTGTTCACGCACTATGCTTTAATCTCTTTCAATAGGAAGTCCTAATATTATTTTGGACATATTCTGAATTTGTTTGACATGCGTATGTGTTTATGGCTATGGAGTAAATGGACCTAAGCTTAAAGCTTGGGGTATATAGTGGACCCTTCAGGGTATTTAATGGACCTTTGCATAGTAGAGTTAGTACTGTGATTAGCTCCGGTACAGTGTTGCTAGCACACCTTAGTGAACCCCATAGCATTGTATGATTTTCGATTTTATGCATTGCGCTTGGGACATCGTATTTGTGAATATATGATTTTAGTATATGAATTTAATTTAAATGTCATTGATTATTCCCTGACATGCGGGATTATGATTTGAGATATTAAGTTATTATTTAAATAGTGAGAATTATAATATTATGTGGTTTGGTTCTATTGCATCTCATGCTCTTTGTGTGTATAGGTCTAGGGGTCTTAGAACCCAAGTTTATAGCTTAAACTTATTACTTACTAGGCTTTTAGCTCATAAAATTCCCCCCCTCCATTTCAGATTATTAGATCGAGGTAGCAACCTCCCGATTTGAGAGCTTTTGGCACAGGACTCGTATGCTCGTTGTATGTACAAGTTAGGGCTTGTTGTATGTACAAGCTAGGGCCTCATGTTTTTGATAGGAAGGTAGATCGATGTATTACCAAAACAATGACTCAGCTTCTGTTTTTTTGAAAAGGTTTGGAGAAGAATTTGCCTCATATAATTTTTTGTGTAAATTACTTTTATGAATAAAATCTTTAAATTAATTATAAATGAGTTTAGTTCAATTTATTTTATAACTTTGAATATTTTGGCATTTTTCCAATATATATATATATTGACTTGTTAAAGTGGTTTTCCTTTACAGGTATATATAATCTTCTCTTTTAAAAATGTAAATTGATTTTCTGAATACAAGCTTTCGTTTGAAGAAACATTCTATATCAGAAGTGTTTTTACTTCCGTTGCAATTCTTTACTATAAATCTTATTTCCGAACTCTTCTAGGACTAAAAGTGCCTAAGAAGGTGTGTTATACATGCAATGTGTCATCATTCTTAAAACTTGATGTACTTTATTTGTCTCGAAATAATTGTCATTTTTTTTTTACTTTTTTTCTAAATTAAAGATTTGGAGACAATTCATGCATTTATCTATATTACTTTTACAAAAAAATTAAAAGATAAAATAAGATTTTTTGTGATAGGATAATTAATCAAAATAAATAAATAATGATCGGGTTAAAGTAGAAAAAATATCTACCCTAAAAAGTGACAAAATGATAATTAATTTGAGACAAACTCAAAGTCAAATAACAAATGGAGGGAGTATCTTTTTTTAATTCTTAAGATAGATATATTTCTTGAATGAACTTTCATTCTTGCCATATCCATGACTTTGCAAATAGTCTTGTTTCAATTAAATGACCATAGATATCTTCCCTCATAAACTAGAAAGGAATGAATCATATTTTGACTTGCCCATTACTCTCATGTGATTTTTAATGCACCTAATAAGTGTATTGTTTGCAACCTCTTGAAGTGGGTGTTTTTAATAGTATCAAAATACATAAGTCCTTGCATAGAATAATGATGATTTCAAGTTGAAGGATCACTTTCATAGAAGTTACTAATGACATATAGATGTAGAATTCTTATGGTGGGTTAGTCCCATTCACTCACTTACTTTGAATCACCCACATGTAATATGTGAGTTCATGAGAAAAAGTCTTGTCATCTAGTAAAGTATCACATATGATAGTCTTTATAATTTGATATATTATCTCAATAATATATATAACTATTGGATAATTTAAGAATGTTGTTATCATTCTCACTTAATAGCAATGGCTACTATTAGCTTTTGATGTGGCAAACATTCTAAAAACTTCATTGGCACTTAACATATTAAAAAAGAATAAGGTTTAAATACTATTTTGGTCCCTCAACTTTCCATTTTGACCCCAAAATTGTCCTTTAACTTTAAAAAGTATCAAAATTTTCCTTAAACTTTCATTTTCGATACCAAAATCGTCCTTTCATCAATTAAATGGACAAGTGGCACGTTAGCTTACCAGCAAATCAATTCTTTTTTTCTTAACTAATGACATGGAAAAAAAAAACATAGTTGGCAATTTTTTTTTATGAGTTGGCATTTTTATTTAATTTAAAAATAATGATTTTTTTTCCATCCACGTCATCTCTTCTTCCTCTTTCACTTTCTCTCTCCTTTACCTTTCCTTTTCCCTTACCTCTATAAACCCAAACCCAAACCCAGATATGGGTTCTTGTACTGTAGTGTTCACCTTTTCAATAACCGGACCGTTGGAAGCAAAGGATGAAGACAACAGAGGAGCATGAATGCTTTTGACAACGGCTCTATGTTTCTTGTACTGTAGTGTTCTGTTTCTCATCGCCATGAGACTGTTGATGAGTTTAATTGTTATATGCATTTATCTACCCTTTTTGAGCCTAGAATTTAATATTATAGGTCCTTTGTAACTTAGTTTCACCTTTATTTATATTAATTTCATTATGTGTAGGTGGAAATTAAGATATGAATTAATTTTGTAATAAGTGACAATTTGCACATGTTATAGTAATTAACCATATCTTTTTCTCTAGGTATCGGATTGAGATGATTCTTTAGGCGTTGGAAAGCTAAGAGGCAGAGCTACAATTGATGTTTTATGAGCTCAACCCAATTCCTTCTGTATCAATACAGAATTTAAGTTGAAAGTGACGGTTTTGACTATAGATGGTGCAGAAATAAAGAGATGGGCTATGTTTTTTTAAGAGTGGGCCAACTGCAGTTCAGGCCCAAACCAAAGCCCAATTCCCATGTCTGTTAGGGTTAAGGGGTTTCTAAATTCTGGGAGATATATATAGATGCTGCTCGGCAGAAAGAAAAAAAGGCCACACACAGACGCGAGAGGAGTTGTTCTGCGCAAGGTCAAGAGCACCCAGCCGCCCACATCCCAGCCACCTACATCTGTTGTTCACCAGAGAAGAAGAGGACAGCCGCGCGAGATTGCTCTGCACATTGGAGGAAAAGCCGTCGCCCAACCTACTCGGAGGGACGCGAATCCAATCTGCAAAGAGGACCCTGAAATCTGCTTCTTCACCGCCCAGCCTTCTTCCGGACAAGCAATTCTCCATTGTTTGGGTTTTGTTGTTTCTGATTTCCTTTTACTATGATTTTCTGTTGGGATTTATTTTTCATGGCTGTTGAAATCATAAACATGTGTGGCTAGAATTCTTTGAACTAGGGATGGATGGATTTTAATTTTTGGAATATGTGACTGTTTTTGTTAGTTTAATTCAAGATTTATTGGTTATTTGCATGATGAGTTTATATTATTGAACTTAATGCATTGAGAGTTTGATCACCTTTCAATTGATTTAGTGATTTATGCATGAACTTGAGAAAGAATTGTGTAAATTAGACCAATAATAATATAAACTGTGTGTTAGACTATGAGACCGAGAGGTAATTAGCTCAAATGTGGTAGTGGAGGAAGAGAAGAGAGTTAGTACTTCCCTCTTCTTAAGCTAGATATTTCCATAGAATTTAATGCTCATTAGTTTGTTTAAAATTAAATAGAGATATGATTAATTTAGCAAACAAATGAAGGATTAGCTTGACTTGAGAAAGCTGATTAATTAATTTAGGGAAATCCGCCATCTCATGCAATAACATTATTATTTGAACTTGAATTAAATTAATGAAACAGTTGCATAATTCAGAATTAAATGAAATCCAAACCCTAGTTCCTTCTCATTCATAGTTTCTTTAACTTAGAAAATTCTTTAGTTTAATTTTCTTTAGTCGACTTAGTTTTCTTTTAAATAGCTTAGTTTTCCCCATTAATTGGTTAATTCAACTTAGGTTAGATTAATAGGGTCTTGGTAGTGTAGGATAGTCCTCGAGGGAATGATATCTTACTCATCTTATATTGTATAATCGATTAGGTTCACTTGCCTAAAAGTAGTGCGTATTTGGTGCATCAACTGTAATCAAGCAACAAAGCTCAAAAAAATTTAGCTTAGCTTGTCGGAGGAGCTTCAATGAGGATGGAGATGGTTTCGGATGAAATCGAAATTCAACAAAATTTGGGAATTTTGATGGTTTAGATGAGCTTCAACCTCATCTTCTTCCTCCTTTCCTCCTCCTTGCTCATCCTTCTTCTTTCTTTTTCTTATTCTCTTTCTCTCTCTTTTCCCTTCTTCTTCCTCTCTCAAACCCAGATCTGGGTTTTTTTCAGTTGTGTCATGTTCATTTTCTATACAAATTTGTGAAAATTTTCATCTTCTATATCGGGTTGGTATTGTTGTAGGTCTCTCCCTGTTATCCCGAATCAACAAAGTTAAGGAATTCCTCCTTCAAGCTTCCTTTGCAAAGTACTACAAATTCTTCCCCCTTATGTGCTGCAAATTCAACTGTCGACCAGCTAATCAACTCTTCAACTCCAAAGGGCTAACCCTTGATGACCTAGTAGTGCTCTTTGGTGCACACACGATTGGGTTCGCCCACTGCAAACACTTCCTGAACCAGCTTTACGATTACCAAGGCACCAAGAAGTCGGACCCGACCATCGACCCAAGACTCCTTAAGGCTCTAAGAATGTCTTGCCCGCACTTTGGTGGCAATGCCGACATTGTTGCTGTAACACCCCACATACCTTAGTGAATAATTTAAAAATTAATGTCCTTTAGTTTATAGTTTTAGGGATTACATTGATTGAATTTAAAGTTTGGGGGTTTTAAGTAGAATTTAGTAGGGGTTGAATGACCATAACTCAGTTATCCCAATTTTGCTTACCACATGGCATTGTCCCAACCAAGTTTTTTTTTCTTTATTGGTGGAAACTTGGATAAGCCTCCAGAAGGCTCCCAAAAGCCCCATTTTGTTTTCCTACGCCTCCCTCTTCCACCTACATCCTTTTCTTCCTTCTTTCTCCAACCAAGGTTAAGGTGCCTTTTGTTAGGTAAGTATAAGTTTTAGTTATGAATTTTGGATTAGAGTTTTGGGTAGTTTAAATTGGTGAGATTTGACTCTAATCCTTTGGTTTATAAGATTTTTGAGTATTAAAATTTTATTAGAAATATCCTTAATTTTGGGGCTTATATGGGAAAGATAGTGAGTTATTTCTTTTTATTGTTTGATTTGCGTGTGAATTTTTGCTTGCTGAAATTATAAGTAAATTATACTGTTTACAAATCACTCTTCACGATTACTGTTTACGATCATTGTTCACGATTACTGTTCACGATCACTGTTCACGCATTATGCTTTGATCTCTTTCAATAGGAAGTCCTAATATTATTTTGGACATATTATGAATTTGTTTGACATGCGTATGTGTTTGTGGCTATGGAGTAAGTGGACCTAAGCTTAAAGCTTGGGGTATTTAGTGGATCCTTTGGGGTATTCAGTGGATCCTTTGGGGTATTTAGTGGATCTCTGTGCAGTAGGGTTAGTACTATGATTAGCTCCGGTACAGTGTTGCTAGCACACCTCGTGGACTCCATAGCATTGTGTGATTTTCGATTAATGCATTGCGCTTGTGACATTGTATTTGTGAGTATATAATTTTAGTATATGAATTCAATTTAAATGTCATTGATTATTTCTTGACATTTGTGCTTATGATTTGAGATATTAAGTTATTATTTAAATAGTAGGAATTATAATATTATGTGATTTGATTCTATTGTGTCTTATGCTTTTTGTGTGGATAGGTCTAAAGGTCTTAGGACCCAAGTTTATAGCTTAAACTTATTACTTACTGGGCTGTTAGCTCATAAAATTCCCCCCCCATTTCAGATCAGTAGATCGAGGTAACAGCCTCTCGGTTTAGGAGCTTTTGGCACAGGACTCGCATGCTCGTTGTATGTACAAGCTAGGGTCTCGTGTTTTCGATAAGGAGGCAGATCGATGTGTTACCAAAACAATGACTCAGCTTTTGTTTTTTTGAAAAGCTTTGGAGAAGAATTTGCCTCATATAATTTTTGTGTAAATTAGCTTTATGTATAAAATTTTTACATTAATTATAAATGAGCTTAGCTCGGCTTATTTTATAACTTTGAATATTTTGGCATTTTTTCAATATATATATATTGACTTGTTAAAGTGGTTTTCCTTTACAAGTATTTATGATCTTCTTTTTTTAAAAGTGTTTTTATTTTCGTTGCAATTCTTTATTATAAATCTTATTTCTGAACTCTCCTAGGACTAAAAGTGCTTAGGGAGGTGTGTTATAGTTGCTCCATTTGAAGTCACCACTCCATTCTTGTTCAATCAAGCCTACTTTGCGAACTTAGAGGCTCACCTGGGATTGCTGGTCTCAAATCAAGCTCTGTTTTTGGACCCCCGAACAAAGCCCCTAGTCTAAGCTCTGGGCAAGGATTAGGAGAGGTTCTTCCAAGTCTCTCAAACCCTAGATTCGGGTTTGAGAGAGAGAGAGAGAAAGAAATAGAAGAAAAAAGAAGAAGGATGAGTAGGAATGAGGAAATGAGGAAGAAGATGAAGTTTGGGAGAGAACCTAGATCTGGGTTTGTAGAGGTAAGGGAAAAGGAAAGGTAAAAGAGAGAGAAAATGAAAGAGGAAGAAGAGATGACGTAGATGAAAAAAAAGATATGATTATTTTTAAATTAAATAAAAATGCTAACTCATAAAAAAAATTGTCATTTTTTTTCCTTGCTATTAGTTAAGAAAAAAAGAATTGATTTGCTGGCAAGTTAACGTGCCATTAATCCATTTAACTAACCGAAGAACGGTTTTAGTACCGAAAACAAAAGTTTAAGGATAATTTTGATATTTTTTAAAGTTGAAGGACAATTTTAGTGTCAAAGTGGAAAGTTGAGGGATCAAAATGATATTTAAATTAAAGAATAACAATTAATATTTGATAAAAAAAATATACATATAATAAGTATAATTATAAATATATAAAATTATTGTCAACTTAGTTGACTCATAGCGCACATTTTAACAAAAACATGTGAAGTCTCTAGCACTTCCAACTAGTCTGGCGATGATTGGCTCCATTCAAGAGGGAAAAAGGAGAGAATGGGGATTTCATTGAAAGGAAAAAGGGGTTTTAACTTTTAACTGTTTTACATTATAGTGATAGGATGAGAAACTTACGAAATGATGCTGCGTTTTGATATTTCGTCGCGCAATTTTTTTTTTTATAAGTCAACTTGTTTTATTCGTTTGCCCTATGAGTTCAATATGAAAAATAAATTATATTAGGATATTGTGAAAGTAAATTTTAAAATTTTTTTTTAAATCTTTTAATATTATATAATTTTAATATTTTTTTAGATAAAAGTTTGAGTTAGGACAAAAAAAATTATTAAGGGTTTATTTGAATTTTTTTTATTATATTATATTTTTTTATTGTAGTCATTATTGATAAATAGAATTTTTCTTAAAAAATTAGTGACGGAATTAAAAATTAAAAATAATAAAAAATAAAGTCCACGTGCAAAGCAGCTTACCTGCCTCTTCCTTTCGCCAGTATATTTGGGTCCCTAAAACTGGCGGGAATCACAGGCTCCACTCCACTTCCCCTAGACCTAAATCCCGCCACTCACTCCTGGAAACACTACGATTCATCATGAACAACAGCAATCCGAGAAAACGGACACCGCCGCAGCAAATGCCTCCGCCGTCCAAACATCAAACCACGTCGCCAACACCCGCAATGGAGGATGAGTTCGTGGACGAGGATGTGTTTATGGACGAAACCCTCATTGGCGAAGAAGAGGAATACCTCATCCTCCGAGACATCGAGGAGCGCCAGGCTCTTGCCACTCGACTCGCCAAGTGGGTCCGCCCTACCCTCTCTGACGCTTATGTTTTCCAATCCTGTGGCATCAGTAAGTTGTGGCACCCTTCTAGTCTCGAAGTCTCCTTCGCTACACTAGGGTTTTTGCGCTAATTGAGATTTTTCTTGGTTTTATTTTGTTGATTTAGTTTTTCAGCAACTGGAGATTGATTATGTGATTGGAGAGAGCCATAGAGAGTTGCTGCCTTCTTCCACTGGGCCCGCTGCCATCATCAGAGTTTTTGGGGTTACAAGAGAAGGTTTTATTTTTATTTTTTTCCTTTTTCTTTTTTCTATTCTGGATCACAGGCTCACAGTTGATGTTTTGTTAGAAGAAATCTGAAAATGTTCCTGTTTTTACATCTTCAGAAGTAAAGGCATAGATCTGGTTCATATCATTCTCACTTTTCCACTGCGTTTGATTGCTGATGATACGAAGGAAGTGAAATAAACATTTTTCTAGATTATTGTTACTGATCTGTCTGAATTCAAGCTCAAACTACTTTGATGCCAACTTTGAGCAATAAATGTTGCAACTACTATTTCCAACTATAAATAATATAGCAATGTTTTGATATCTGACCTTTCAAAATGTTGTCATTGCTTTATTGAGCATGTGCCAACATCATGATTTTATGATGGGCAGCTTATGTAGCAGCTCTAGTTTGTTTTCCAACATCCTCGTTTATGTATTAAGCTCACCATGTTGGCCTAGTTTGAATTGTTTGATGCATTCTTTGGAGATTAATTTATTAGTTAAACACTAAAATGTTACTAGAAAGTTATTCAAATTTCAGTGAACTTGCTTCTTGCTAGAGGAGTTTTTTCTGAAGGAATTATAATTTTTGTTCAAAATATAATGAGTACAAGATACACCTTTTGTTAGTTTGATGAATTTTTATGTTATTGTAGGACACAGTGTTTGTTGTCATGTTCATGGATTTGAGCCATATTTCTATATAAGTTGTCCTCCAGGAATGGGCCCTGATGATATCTCCCGGTTTCATCAAAGTCTTGAGGTATTTGGTTTTACAGAGATAACCCATATCCTGTTGATAAATTGCGTCTCAATTAACTTAAACTACATTTCTTCAGGGTAGGATGAGAGAGGCAAATAGAAATAGTAGGGTACCAAAGTTTGTCCGACGAGTGGAGTTGGTGCAGAAAAGGAGTATTATGTATTACCAGCAGCAAAAGTCTCAACCTTTCCTCAAGATTGTGGTTGCATTGCCAACAATGGTCGCCAGCTGCCGTGGTAAAAGTCGTGATGATTTGATGCATCCAATTTTTGTTTGAGTTGCCTTTTTCTGAATTCTGAGGAAATGTTCAGAGTTCATCTACAACATAATGGTCGACTAAAATTCCCTTTTATTGTAATTTACATTGTTTTGACATAAACACTGATTTGGCATATATGTGCTTGAATTTGAGGATGCTTGTCTTTTTCTTTTTCTTTTTCTTTTTTTTTGTCATTTTCTTTATATTATCCTATTTTTTTGTGGTCAATAAAATAATAAAACCAATAATTGGCAGGAATCCTTGATAGAGGCATGCATGTTGATGGCCTTGGTATGAAGAGCTTCATGACATATGAAAGCAATGTTCTTTTTGCACTTCGTTTCATGATTGATTACAACATTGTTGGGGGCAACTGGATCGAAATACGTGCTGGAAAGTATAAAATGACAGAAAAAAGTTTATCTTCTTGCCAATTGGAGTTTGATTGCCTGTATCCTCTAGTTCAATCTCCCTTTGAGGAGTTTGACTATCATTTTTTTATTTGGTGTTTTTATCTTTCTATTTTGTCTCTTTCCTTAATTATTTTTGTTAGGTATTCAGACTTGTTTAGCCATGCTCCTGAAGGGGAGTTCTCTAAAATGGCTCCATTTCGAATATTGAGTTTTGACATTGAGTGTGCTGGCCGCAAAGGTCATTTTCCTGAGCCTACCCATGATCCTGTAATCCAGGTATTGTTTCGACTTTCTCACTATTGGTGTGATTTTCACAAGAACTATTGCTCTTTATAGTGTTCTTCTTTCACTGATTTTAATGCAAATTTTCATTTCTTTTTTCTAGGTGGCAAATCTAGTTACTTTGCAGGGTGAAGATCAGCCATTTGTTCGTAATGTTATGACACTTAAATCATGTTCTCCTATAGTTGGTGTGGATGTTATGTCTTTTGATTCAGAGAGAGAAGTCTTCTTAGCTTGGAGGGTACTCTTTTATATTAAGATATCTTATTTGCCTTTTGAGACTAGGGTTAGTGCTTTTAAGAATGCACTGGTATAAGTTATTGGCATGTCCATAGGTGTGTTTAATTGCCATGAGATGTGATATATCTGTTAAATAACTTACTAAATATACATGGTTTTTTTTTTCTGATATTGGAGAAACTTCCTCATTTCATTTTCCCTCTTTTTTCTTCCCTTACATGAAGGTAAATGATGTAATGCTTGCTGAAATGAGAAATTGGAGAAAAAACAACAATGGAAAAATATATGTTGAAGTGTTAAAGCTTAATGCAAGCATCTGTGCCTATTTTATGCACCTAAGCTGTCCTATAGAAGTTGTTTGTCTTCTAATGTCAGATAGACATATGTCTGCACAATGTCTTAGCAATTGTCTCAGCTTATCTTTTCTTAGTTGTTTTTTAATTCATTTGTTAGATATGCCTTGGTCCTAGGCTGTGCTGATTTTGGTTGGAATGTTATCAACAATGGGACAATTTGGAAGATAGAATGCAAAATGAAGCTAAATAAAGTTTGAACGAAACTGCTTTTACCTTTCAAAGCTGAAAAAAATGCATCTGTGTATAGATCCTTTGATTTTATCCCAACTACTGACTGTTATTGTTCAATTGCCTAAATAAAGCAGCCAGTCAAAGGACATGATAAAATAAACATTGAACCTGCAGTTTTGCCTCTGATTTAAATCCAGTCTGTAAGCCATCAAACAAAATGAATAAACATCAGTTTTTAAATAATTTCTCATAGTTTTTCTCTGAAAGAGCTACTTGTGGTAATCAATTTGGATCCAAAAATGTTGAAGAGTCTAACAAATCTCTGGTAGGTAGAAAATTTTGCCTGATCTTCATTATCTTATGGAGTAATGAAAAAGTTTTGCTTGCAGGATTTTATCCGTGAAGTGGATCCTGATATAATAATTGGATATAACATCTGCAAGTTTGATTTACCATATCTCATTGAGGTAATTAAACTACTGAACTCCTTATTTTTTGTTTTGAACATTTTCATAGTAAATTTTTTTCTTTAGTTTAATTATTAAGAAGAGAAAAATGAAAATAGGTCGTTCTGGCATTTAAACTGTCAACTCTTCTGTGAAATTGTTCACATATCCTAAATGAATCGTCCTCTCATGTTGATTCATTAAGAATATTTAAGTCTTTTCATTATCATTCTCAGCATTTTAATTTCCAAGGACTGATTTTCCACAATTCTTCATTAAGAATTTATTTATTTATTTGTTTTGTAACTTGCATCTGAGTTGGATATGGTAACATTATGTGTTCTGGAAGGTGTTCGCAATTGATTTAACACTCCACTTTTCTTGGTTCACAGAGAGCTCAAACCTTGGGAATACCAGAATTTCCTATTCTCGGCCGCATTAGGAATAGCAGGGTTCGTGTTAAAGATACCATGTTTTCTTCAAGGTAATTGCTTTCTGCTCCTTCTGAGTGCAAAATTTGCAATTCCTCAGAATTATCTGTCCAAATTCTGTTACAAATCTTCCTTATCATTCTAAGCAATGATGCTTTATTTGCTTCAATGATATCATTGTTCTTATTTTTTTGTTTTCTAATAAACCTAAGCTCCAACTCATTGTCTCTTAGCATATTTGTTGTCTTTCTTTGCATTTGTTTCCATATTCTTTTTAATTTTCACAAAACATTTTCCATCCATTTGAGATTTGGAATACTTCTATGACTAATTTTATTTGGCAAGTAAACTGTTTTTTGGGAGATATTAGGATTCTTTAGAGGTCTTGTTCATTTGAGGTAGCATCCCCTATTATTAAATGTTGAGAATTATACTAAGATTTTATCCTTCTCTCTGTATGTCACTTTATATTTTTTAATATTAAAATATTCTGCCACTGATCCTATCTGCATCTTTTTATTGTTATTACCTTATACTAATTTAGGAAATTTATGGTCATTTTATTTGCATTTTAATGTACAAGTTGGTGTATGGCAATTTCTTTGTTTTTGTTTTTTATTTTTTTTTGCATCTTCTTTTTTGTTAACATAGGCATCTGGACCTTTTTTCTCTATTTATTGTTGGTTAAACCCCTATTTTGGTCCCTGAACTATTGTACGGACCCCTGATTTGGTCCCCTGAACTAAAGAAATCCCTAATTTGGTCCTTGAACTATTGTACGGACCCCTGAGTTGGTCCCTAAACTATTGTACGGACCCCCGAGTTAGTCCCTAAACTATTATATGGATCCCCAATTTGGTCCCTACTGTTTACCAATTTGGCCCCAACTTGGTCCTTCTGTTAAATAATAGCTTAGGGACCAAATTGGGGCGAAATTGTAAACAGTAAGGACCAAATTGGGGGTCCGTACAATAGTTCAAGGACCAACTTAGGCCAAATTATAAACAGTGGGGACCAAATTGGGGGTCTGTACAATAGTTTAGGGACCAAATCAGGGATTTCTTTAGTTCAAGGACCAAATCAGGGGTCCGTACAATAGTTCAGGGACCAAAATGGGGATTTAACCTTTATTGTTTACATTTTTGTTTTGTTTTTTAAAACTGAAAAATATTTCTTAATTTATTTTTTTATTATTATGAATGGAAATAATTAGAAAAAGAGAGTGTGTGTGTGGTGTTATCACTTTTTTAAAGAAATGTTTTGGTGTTCAGTTTGTTTCAGAAAAAAGTTGAAAATATGATTTCATTGTTTCAACAGATTTTGGAAAATTTTGAAAACATATCTGAAAACAAAAATTTAAATCATTGTTACCATAGGAATCTGCAGTGTGTCTGAACAAGTCCTAACTAAACCATGATATGATATATTTCCATTTGTCATAAATTTTAGATAATTATTATATGTTTGTTATGCTATTTTGTTGTCATAGTTTGCTCCATTGTTTGCAGTTGTATCTCTTTAACTGTCATGGTTACATGTTCAGCTTGGTTTTGAAAATATTGTAGTTATATTTTAGATCTTGTCATAGTTACTTCTTGATGTTGGTTTGCATGGCAGACAGTATGGAACAAGAGAAAGTAAAGATGTCACTTTGGAAGGAAGAGTCCAGTTTGACTTGCTCCAGGTTCTGTTCTAGCAGCATTTACAATTAAATCTGCATTTCATATGATGAACAAGCTGATCTTTGTGTAGTGACAATTAATTATTTTGTTCTCTTCCTTTTGTTGCAGGCAATGCAACGAGATTATAAATTAAGTTCTTATTCATTGAATTCAGTTTCAGCTCACTTTCTTGGCGAGCAGGTTAGATATATATGTCTTGATCATCAGTTTGTAAGATTTCTTTTTTCCATATTTAATGCAAATGGCACTTCATGCGTTCTCCTGATCAAATGACAAATGCTGCTTTGGGTGAAAGCATTAATAATGTTCAATAATATTATTACATGTACTTGACTTACTTAATATTAAACAATATGTTTTGTGCTTTAGTGACTTCCTTCTTGTTTCCATTCAGAAGCACAAATTGCCAATCGCATCTAGGTCTTTTTAGTTTCATTCTTTTTCTGCTGTTGATGGCTTTTCTCTAACTTGGTTGAAACTTTTGGTTTTATTTTTGCTTAAATATAACATTGTGGAATAAAGGCATCAAATGAGATGCTACTCATTCTGTTTTGCTCCTCTTCACAAATGCATGTATCTCTGCAATAGAACCCCATTCCCCTTTTCCCTTCATCACTATTGTTTGAACTCTTCAGTTAGACTTAAGGTGGTTCCTTGAAGTCCTGATTTTTCAAGTTTCCTATTCCTTGTTCTTATCCTTTTTAAAAGTAATGACTTGAGTTTTAGTGTATTTATTGCTGAGAATGGTTTCCTTTGCTCAGAAAGAGGATGTCCATCATTCAATAATATCTGATCTTCAGAATGGGAATGCAGAAACTAGAAGGCGCCTTGCTGTGTACTGCCTGAAGGTGCATGGTTTTTTCATCTATCTCTGATTTCTCTTTGTTTCCACTCTTTGTTGTGTGTACTATTAGCAGCCAAAATCCTTCATGAGATGATACACTAGCTCACAACAAACATAAGGAGTCCACAAGGCCTTGATCTACTAGTTTGAAATGGAACAGAGAGAAATACTATAAGACAATATAGCTTAACGGGTTGAATAGAGCTCACACATAGGTTTTATAGTTTCAAAGATCAGAACTCAATGCATAGACTTAGGCATGGCGCATGCATTATCATAACAAGATTTAGCTTAGCCAATAGCTTTACAGAGTTAGCATAACATAGGTGTAAGATTAACAGATTTAACATGCTGGATAGTTTATAACAAAACTTAGCTTATTCATAGATAAACAGGGAATAATGCACCTCAAGAATCATACATATATAGACTCTGGAGTGCTTGGAATGTGATAGAACTCACATTTGGTGCTGGAGCTAGCTTCAGTAATACCCTTCTGCACAGAGGTCCACCTATCCCCCAAAGGAGGTCCATGAATTCACTGACACTGATAATCCTAAACCAGGTCCACATTCTCCATGGTCTTCGTGTCTAACAGAATGTATACATTTCTCAGCAGTCACACAACATACATAATAATGCTGAAGAACAAGTGGGCTTGAATACAACATGAGCATCCAATCTAAAACCAATTGGCTATAGGCTGTGGGGCCATACCATATTTAAGCACATAAGTTTTCCCAATTAACCCATAACATGTTCTGTGCTCATTCATAATTTAAGAACTGATTTACATTTCAGTTCACTTTCAATTGATTCCACTTACTAGTCTTCCTTATATCATAAGCCTAGGAAAGAATTAAACAGATGCATGTAAATTCACAAAAAGATTTCATTGTCAGACTTGTTATCTTATGACACATATAATATTATATCGGTAATTCAATTCACATAACTTAGAAGATCATTGATAATGACAACATGATTAAACTTCTGTGGCTTAAACACATTATGGGCTCACACATTGCACTAGATTCAATTGCATGTTTTAATACTTGATTGTATCTTATTGATCTTCTTGTCTAGATTTTTATTACTCTTCATACAGTTGTATTACTTTTTTTTCTTACTCAGTTTTAGCTTTAAAAACTGTAACTTACATTTAACATACACACGACAAAACCACCTAAGTAGCTGGAGTAATGGAACTTAAGAATTCAGTTGAATTCTGGGCAACGCAATAAAATCCCTGCAGCAAAGAGAATATAGAATGGCTAATTCTTGTATCTCACATAATGGTCAAGACTTAATTTAGTGATTTTAATGAATTACCTCTTTTCCTAACAATTCCTAGTAAACTTGGCATTATTATTATTAACATTGTCAAATGAAAGTTTTTCAAAGTTGGCCATGCAAACACCAACTTTCTGATTCTTTCAGTTTAGTTCTTAACTCCAGTGCAATTAAGGACTAAATGTTCTATTCTATTCACTAAAGTGCAGGGGTATTACGCATCAGGTTTCCCTGTAGATCATTGTCACAAGTCATATCCATATTTACTGAATCTAATGGAAACTGGAAAGTCTAGCATCAGTAAACTAAACATTGTTTCTATTTAAAGACTTTCAAATAGTGTTATAGTTTTTTATCCTTTTTTCTTTTTTTTTTAATTGCTTTCTAATTCCAAAAACAAGATAGCAGCATGCCTTTTTTTGGCCATCAGTTAGCACCATTAATTACCAATTCTGCCCTGCATCACATTAGTGAAACAATGCTTTGATGCCTTCAAGGAAGGATAGCCAAAGAACAGCTTTATTATTTGTTTAAGGTTTGGTGTCTTTTCTTTAAGAATCCTAGATAATAAAGACTATTGTTCTGAATATCCTTCCTTGACTGCATTACACCCTTCCCATTCCCATCAGCAAACAATGTTTGAAATGGACTGAAGTACCAATTCTTAAAGGATGTTGCACCCATCCCCAAAATCCCTGTATCCAAAAGAATGAAAGTTCTTGGATCCCCCTGAACACCTCTTCCTCCACAAGGAGTTTCCTAGAAAAATGCCTGATTCTTGCTAACAATAGAGACCAAGCCACCTGATGTAGAACAGGAAGCAAAGGTGAGGATAGAACTTAGAAACAGAGGCAAGGGTGGGAACAGAATAGCAGAATTAAGGATTTCTAGAAAATAATTTCAATTTATAAACACTTCAACTGAATAACCCTAATACCTTAAATATAAAAGCTAAAAACCCAAATTAGACTTATTTCCTAATTAGACTCCCAATTGAATCTTTATTGAAAGATAATAATAGATCCTAATACATATAAGTTACTAGTAATATTTACATTTAATTCCTATATATTCATAATCATAATAAAATCCTAATAAATATATTATTTCCTTCCTTATTTCCATCATTCTCCCCCACTTGGTGGAAACTTGAGCTCGAGTTTTGTAGTGTTGAAGCCATACAAATTTCGAGGCAACAAAATAATACAACTGCAGTGCTTTTAGTAACTCGACTTCAATCTTCAAACCAAACAAAATAGACTTCAAACTTCAAAGTAGACTTCAAAGTAGGATGTTTAGCATCAAATTCTTCTGGAAGAATGAATTCAACAGGTTGAACAGCTTTCAAGACAGAGAGGAACTCAAAATTTTCTTCCACAGTTTCCACTAAGCCATTTGGTTCTAATTCTGGAAGTTTCTTGAATACCATTTTGTGAAGATCTTCTCTATTTTCCACCATGTCATTGACCTCTGAATGTTGAAGCTCTTCAAGTAACTCATTTGGCTTGAATTCTTGTTAAGAACTCAACAAGAGAGAAGTCAAGTAACCCACCAAAATGTTTCCTTGAACTTTCACTATATCATGTTCTGTCACTAAGTTACTATCATCTTCCTTGGGTATGGGAATACCATAGCAAATGGTTGACTTTGGAATTTCTTCATCAGTAACATAATTATCTACTACACCCTTTCTTAAATAAGGCTCAAGCTTAGTAGCATAGTTTGCAAGCACTTTTTCTGACAATTTTTTAGCAACAGGCAGAACAACCATATCATCTTTTTCCACACACAAAAGCAATGGAGATGGTAGTTCCATAGGAATATCTTCACTTTCTTGTAAAACAAGAGTCATGATACTTTCCATATGGTCAAAGACAACTTGTGGGTGATAATCCCGGATTGATAATAGAAAATGTTGGAACATTTCAATAATTAGTGCATCACACTCAAGATCCAACATCAACAGACAAGATCAAACCCTGGCCATAATGCTCAGAATTGTTTTTCTATCATAATATGAGCTGTCACAATTGTCAAACAAATGCTCAAATGATGAAACAGTCAATTTAAATACCTCCATTTTGTCATCATCATATGGAGCATCTGGAGTAGTAATTCTCATCATCTCACCAATGCAAGCTGCAACAGCATCTCTAACATGGGCATTTGAATGATGAAAAAGGTGTTCTGAAATCAAAGCCTGTTAGGATGGATATAGTGCCTTTTCTAAGTATGGACATGGCTTCTGCTCCACTTTTGAAAGGAAATTCCTTGTACCAAGATAGAGAGAAGTTCATCAATTGAGGAAGTAGGGTTCTTGAGGGAATACCCAACTTCCTTCAACTGTTCTACCAGCAACAACTCTTTAAAAGAAGAGACATTGATTTCACTCCATTAAACTAAAATCAATTTCAAGCCACTGACCTATCAAAAAAGCTAGTAGTTCCGAGCAGAATTTTGCAAA